TAGCAATTTTATGGGGGACAATTCGTTATACAGTCAAACTGGTTCCCAATTTTTGTTTCCAGCACCTTTTTCTCCACCTGCTTGGACTTGGTGATTTTCGCCAAGCATAACTCCAGCACCTTACCTTGCGCAGTACTTTGTGTGTGCCTGGCAGGTAATTTGACTGTTTTGGGGTTATTTGATTGGGAAAGCGGGGTGGAAGTAAGTGGGAGTATGTATGACAGCAATGCTGTCCTGGACAGGTATTTACATATAGGTTATTTCTAGCAGGGGTTACTTGAAAATGATCCTGAGTTGAAATCCTGACAATTCCTCTTCCTCACCCCCCCCCCCCCCCCCACCCACCCCATGTCATCGAAACTCACTGTCGTACCAGTTATAGTAAACTAGCTCAGCACAGAACAGAAATTGAACTTGAGGCTGTCCTGTTATGTATGACTCAGTACCACTCAGGGTTAGGGTTAACAGATCCACAGTTTTTTTTATGTATCATGCTCTGTCCTGTGATTGTACTGGGGTTGGTTTTGTGGAGTGGGGAGAGGAAAGTTCAGTCAGGATTCCTGCTGCTGATCACTGAACTGTATCCTCATTGGAAGTTGCGTGTGTGAGTGTACGTAGAGCTGGGAAATGATTGAACTTAGATGCAATGCTATTTTCCTCCCCCAAACTCAGCCTCCGAGGCAGAGAGGATATAAATTAATGTAAAGGATGTAAAGAACCTTGAATGTTTTAGCTTTGTATGGTGAGTGTTTTATGTCAATCTTGTTTATTGTAATCGCTTCAGTGAGCATCGAGCACAGTTGCTCCTCTCCCTCTCAATCTGTTAGACTGCCAATACCTCACAGCTAGCGTGCCATGCTATTAGGCCCATCACCGTGCTACCCCTGTTGGGCAGCCACCATGTTGACAGCAGCTGCTCATTGTAAAATGGTAGCCTTGATGTTGCAAGAGGAATCCTACATTGCTTAAACTGAAGTTTTACAATGATTTGGCAGTGGTCAGCAGATTAAAATCTCAGACCTGTTCATCAGTTGCATACTGAAGTTTACAGGTTACAAAGGTGTGGCCTAGACACTATAATTTTAAGATTTTAGCTTTGTGCATGTAAGCGAGTGAGTTCCATTGAGCCAGAGATCTAAAGAAAATCTTTCTCGTTAACTGTTCTTTGACTCGTGGTTCCAAAAGGAAGGTGCAAGGTAATCTAACTAATGTCATTAATCTGTCATTAATGACATTAGTTAGATTATCAAACAAAGTCAATGTCCTGAAAACGCTGCATCACAAAAAAAGTGGTCACTCAATCCACGACTGTTTATGGGACACCGCTGTAAGCAATTGGCTGCTGCATTTCGCACACAAACATATACAGTCAATTCACTTTACAGTATATTCTGTGAAGAGCTTTGAGATGTATCAAAGACGTGATGAGGTGCTATATCAAATGCAAGGATAATTATCTATAATCCTAAAAGCAAAACAATATTGTTTCCAAAGGGGGAGTGGAGATTTACCCGTCATCACAGTAGTTGGAGACTCTTCATAAATTTCATGGATTTTGGACCTCGAAAATCACATGGTGTCTCTTAATAAAATTATGAAGCATACCTTGAAAGTTTTTTTGTGCTATCCATTGGGCTACTTGAATTTTTAATGGACCTTTGGGAAGCATTTCTGGAATTAAATCGCATTGCTTTGTTAATACTGCAATGGTGTGAATAAAAGTTTTCCCCTCTAATATCTTGGGGGGAGGGGGAATTTAGTGGAACTAATACTTCAGTCGTTAATGGTTGAAAAGTTAGAGTAAGCTGTTGCACTTCTGAAGATATTCAGATTTTGTGTAAGATTGAGATTCTGTTTGTGATCAATGCCAAGCTACTTTGTAGTGAATAGAATAAAATCTGTGCATAATGTAGGAGAATTCAGTACCTAAATTGTCAAATCAGAGCAAGTTTATTTCTAAAAACATTTTTGCAAAAATGTACTAGATGCTTAGTACAGCATATGATTGCTGAATCCTTCCGAAAGTAGAGGGTTGTGTATACTATGCTAGGTTACCTAGTATACAGGCAACAGAGCACACATGCTGTAGGTGACTGTATTCTAAGAATGCTTTTTATGTACAGGCCTTGAAGGGCATGCCAGTGGTGTGACAATAGTTTTCACCGGGTAATTACAGATGAATTGAAATATTTTCACCGGGTAATTACAGGTGAATTGAAATATTTTCACCGGGTAATTACAGGTGAATTGAAATATTTTCTAATTTGCAGAGGAAGTGGTGACAACAACAACAAGATTGCATTTATAGAGCCCCTTTCACGTCGGGAGGATGTCCCAAGGCGCTGGACAGTTGGGTCGGGACCTGAGCAGGGGGGGAAATGGTCAGGGTGAGGGGAGGGAAGGGAGGGAACGAGGAGGGGGTAGAGAGTCGAGAGGGGAGCTGAAGGTGATTGGTTCATTTGCAAAGCATGGCATTGTACCAAATGTTATTTCATTTCGTATTAGCAGACAAATTCCTGTTAACAAAAACTGGATTTAAAACATGATATAAATCGCTGTGATGATTACACTGGAGGCATATTCTTTTAAAATGATGTGACGGTTGCTTGTCATTGAAACAGCTGAATAATGAGAATTGCTTGTATATCCTGTTGGTACATTGGTCCAGGCAGACTGCCTGTCTATAGTTATCTAATGTTGTAATAAAAGTCAGTTTAGAATTGGGTCCTGACTAGACACGCTCTTGAAGGTTCAAGGATTAAATTATTAATTTCTCTTCAAGTGGATTACTGCAGTTTAACCAGATTAATGTTTGGGAACATTTAGTAATGCCAATACAGCACCATAACTTGAAGCTTGAAATGCTTATAGGTTTCTTAAGTATGTTTTTGATTCAAATATCTGTTATTTGGTTTTTAATGTCATTTATTGTGACTGGACTTGCTGCGTCAATTATTTGAAGATTTTTCTTCAATTGTGTTTTTTCACTAGTAGTGGCTGCTTTCTCAAACCATAGATTTGAAGCAATGATGAGGTAATATAAAGGATCATTTTTGAGAGCTAAAGGTACAGTCATGCTTTAGGTTTTGGCGTCTGTGCTTAACCAATTTATTTGGTTCTTTGAGGACATTATAGACCTAATAGATAGGAGAAAACAGTGGATAATAATAATCCTTGCATTTGATATAGTGCCTTATCACTTCATTGTTGTCTAGACAGAGGGTGGGGGGTGGATAAACGTCTCAAAGCGCTTATCATTTATTTGGATTTCAGAAAGCATTTAACACTGTTTCATATCATATACAGTATTACTGTATACAGTTTAGATCCGTAAGATATATGGTATTATCTTAAACTGAAAGCAACAAATACTGTAGTTGGTTGCAATAATAAGTAGTGGTGCAGCCTGACTGGGAGAAAGTTCCTAGAGGTGAATGATAGGGAATAGCATAGAAACCACTATTATTTATAATTTTTCTAAATTATTTGTTGGCATCAAAGCTGCCAAGTTGAGTCCAGTGCTAAATGACGAAAATCAATGTGCGCAAATTCAGATGTATCTGCAGCAGTTGGCTATGTGGACAGAAAGGTGGTGGATGTTGGTTGATGAGGAGATGTATGACGTTATGAGATTTGGCAAAAGAAAGGGTAGTATGAATCTGTGCTAAACGGAATGTGCTTAAAGTGTCAGAACAGGATAGTGGTCTGATTTTGATGAACTGGTCATCAGCAGTGATTTTAAAAAGCAAAAACAACACCTCGCACAGGATAGCATCCCAGAGCACAAGGTGGGAAAGTGTCGTGCTGCAAATTTCCACGTGTTTTCCCCCTGCTGGAACTGCTGACAGCAAAAGCAGATGGTTTTACCAACGGGAGTGAGAAACTGGAATGCTCAAAGCTGCTCTCCAGTGGAGCCCCATCATGTAAACAAAGTATTAAATAATCTGTTTTTGTGTGTTTCTCAATAATGGTGAATTTCAGAAGCGGGTTGAGTCGGGATCTTATTTGCTCACATATTCAGTGTGAAGTAACTCTGAAGAACAGAGTGACCTTTTGTTACACGGATAGTCACAATGGGTAAAGATAACAACTTCACTCCTGTAAAGTGCCTAGTGATGAAATTCACTGTTACAACAACAACTTGGATTTATATAACGCCCTCCACGCCGGACGGCGTCTCAGAGCGCTTTACAGTAATGGATCCCGGGACTGAGCCGGGGGGAGGGGGAGGAAGGTGACCAATGGAGCAGTCGAAAAGAAAGGTCTTCAGCAGAGATCTGAAAATGGGAAGGGAGGGAGCGAGACAGGGAGTGAGGAAGGCAGTTCCAGAGCCTCGGGGCATAGTGGCTGAAGGCACGGCCACCGAGGGTGGAGCGGAGGACTCGGGGGACAAGGAGGAGGCCAGACCCGGAGGAACGAAGGCAACGGGTACTGTGCTGAGGCGGTCAGAGAGGTAGGGGGGTGCAGAGGAGTGCAGGGACTTCAATACGAGGGTGAGTATCTTGAAATCGATCCACTCTGGGATAGGCAGCCAGTGCAGTCTGGCAAGGACTGGGGTGATCGGGGGGCGAAGTTTTGTGCGGGTGAGAATGCGGGCAGCAGAGTTCTGAATGAGTTGTATTTTATGGATGGTAGTGGATGGGAGACCGGTGAGGAAGGCGTTTGAATAGTCCAACCGGGAGGTGACAAAGGCATGGACCAGAATTTCAGCGGCTTTTGGGGAGAGGTATTGGCGGAGACGGGTGATGCGTCGGAGGTAGAAGAAGGCGGTGCTGGTGAGGGATCGGATGTGGGGAGGAAGGATAATTGGGGGTTGAACCTGACGCCTAGGTTGTGTACGGGTTCGGAGAGTTTTAGGGGAAGGTCGGGTAGGTGGAGGAGGTGAGAACTGTGAGATTTTAGATGTTGACGAGAGCCGACTTGTCAACGTTCAGCTGAAGGAAGTTTGCGCTCATCCAGCCCCTGAGATCTGATGGCCAGGCTGACAGAACATCAGGGGACTGGGGGGGGAGGGCACAGTTTATTGTGTGTTTTAAGAGGGAAGTAGATAGATGTATGAAAGAGGCTGAAGGAGTACGGGATGTGATTGAAAGAATAGCTTGCTTGGCGCAGACTCAAATGAGCCGAATGGTCTCCTTCTGTGCTGCTAACTTCTATGATTCTGTGAAATTCGTGGCAACAGTATTTGGCTAGCACTGGAATTCCTTAACATTCCTGCTGACTAAACTCTTAACGTAACTGTTTAATTTCCTCTAGGGCTAGGATTCAATATTGTCGGAGGGACTGATCACCAGTACAACTATAATGACAGTGCAATTTATGTAAGCAAAATTAAAGAAGATGGACCTGCAGATGCTGACGGACGTTTAAAAGAAGGAGACCAAATCTTAGCAGTAAGACATTCAATACGTTATTTTAAATTGACCAACACGTGACTCCAGAAATATTTCTTTACTCCATGGCCATCCTTCAGTGAGATAAATATACTTTTGTGCTATGTCTTAAAAAACAAAGGGGGTGGAAAATCTGTTAACATAGTAGCCGGAGAACAACTTAAAAATAATGTAGTTTTTTTTTAAAAAAAGACTTGTTTTCTGTGCAATGGATGTAATGTAACGTTTAACATCTTAGATATAAATTGTAGCCCTTCACTTACTTTGTATGATTGGGTTATTCTGCAGTACATGCAAGACCTTGTTGAGAAAGGAAAAATTATGTCAATCTTTTCTGGTCTGGCAAATAGCTGAGAAAAACTTGACTCCTTGACATCAGTGGTGTTTGGAATAAATTATAGAGGAATTTCCTTTACATGCTGAAATGAAGCCTCACATTATTGAATTATTTAGTTTGGGTTGTCAAAATCGACACAATTCAAATGCAGTTAGAGTGAAAAATCATTAAATAATTAAATAATGGCTTTTAAGTTGCAAAAGGGGAATTTGCAACAGATGTTGATGCTTTTACTGGCAGAAACCTTACTCTAACTGGATACTTGTCAAATGTAAATGCTGTGTTTGTTAGCAATGTTTAACATGAAACTTTTTGTGAATGAAATAGATCAATGGACAAGTGCTCTGTGATATGACTCACCTGGAAGTTGTGGAAGTATTTAGAAATTCTGGGGATGAGGTGGTTTTACAGGTTGTAAAAAAGGTAAAGGTGTGCATGCTTAGTTTAAGCTAAATCCTATTTCATGCTTTCGTTTTGCTTCTCCCTTTCCTTAAGTTAATGCACCAACCTCTGCATATTTTAGTCTTGAAAAAATCTTTAGAACCAGCCACATTGCCAAAACAACCTTTGTAGTTGCCATGACTATTACTCTGCTCTAGTCGAGACACTGAAGTCTTTTGGATTGTACTCATTTGAGCCAAATGTTTACCTTCTTCTGATTCAAAACTGGTCTGAAGAATTGGAATCTCAAGGCTTTTCTCAACTTCATAAGTGGAGGCTAACTCCAAACCAAACAAGTCATGTGCTTTCAGAAAAGGGATTTATTCTCTTCATTTTCTAACATGCTGGAAATGGGAAATCAGCTTGAGGAAGCTTGAGAAATTTTGGCTTTGTTTTGAAAATTGGAAATTCTGCTTGTGTCTCTGCTATGTTGTAATGTTTATTTTTCTGTTTTTTTCTTTCAGATAAGAGATAAGAATAATCAAAGCAATGGGCCTACTATATCACCACTAGTTTTGACGGCACTGGTTGTAGTGGTGGCAATATTTGGATATGTGAAATATCGTCATAGGTCGTGAGAAAGCCAGTGCCCATATTGTTCACGTGGACCTACAGATCGAATATCAATTGCTGCTCCTTGTTTGTGTGCATTAACCCTGACTTTCGTCAGTCACTGCAGGATTTTAAAGGGATGCGCACTTTCACAGATGGTCTAAAATATTCAGCATGATATTTCAATGCTGCAAAATTCAGATTACAAATTGTACCAGAGTACAGCTTTTTCCTTTATTGTTGTAATTATGGTTTAAAAACAACATTGTGAAGATCTCCTGCTATGTTTAAAAGATCCAAATAAGAATGATGGTGCAATTTATACGCTGAATTTTATGGGACACATTCTTGGATTCTCCACACTTAAGAAGATGAAGCTAAGATTCCATGAAATGCAAGCATTACAAAATTGAGGCTAGGTCCTGAACCAGAGGTGGTTTGAGGCTTGAAACTGTATCCTAGTGTAAGTCAGCATCTTCAGGAGAAGAGAGGAGAAAAAAATTAAAGTAAAACATTTCTTTGACATTTGGCCAGATTTCAGCGTAGTGCCTTTATGTTGGAGTTAGGTCCCAGGTTGAATCTGGTCTGTATTGAGTTAGCAACCTACCATGGCTTGGATCAGCTATCATTGGCTTCAGCACCATTTGGCTAATGAAGGGAGAAATCAGCCTTCTTCTAATTGTTACCCAATGATTTGTGAAAAGGTCATTTGTATGAATGTATGCTGTTGACTGGCTTGGGCTCAACTGCGATGTTTCTCCTGCCACACGAGACCAACCAAGCAGCCTGCTGATGCTCATTATCGAGCACTACATCTGGAGAAGCTGTTAGAAGCCTTGGACCTAGCACAAGTCAGCACCTTCAGAAGAAGTAAGGAACAGTAAATTAAGGCAAAGAATTTCTTTGACATTTGGCCAGATGTCAGGGTCGCATCTATGCTAGAGGAATTATGTTATTGGCAGTTTATACTCTGTTTCACAGATGCTACCCATTTCTGTAATTGGACTATGTTTGAGAAATGCATTAGGAAATATAATGCCTGCACTTTTTCTATGTTGTGATAGGCCCACTTTCACAAAATATAGGTCATTCAAATGTTGTAAAAAATAATTTTAAATCACACAAACCAAGTATAGTAGCAGCTGTTGTCTACTTTTAGCAATACAGTGCAACCCTGGTATAATATCTCTCCTGGTATAGCATTGATTATAATACTGGTCTATGGATCTGCATTATCTAGAAGCGTGGTATACCCAGCTTCCATCGCTCACTAACTGGCTTCCTATGCTAATAAATAGTCAACTTTCTGATCTTCAGATCACTGTTGACATGACGTCCTGCACACTATGTATGACTGACATTTTTTGGGGTCATCCGGGTGTTCTCACGTCTGAGGAAACCCATCATCATGCTTAAGAGTATTCAAGCCAGACTTGAGAGTTCTACATATGTACAGCCACCAAGGCACATCAATTTCTGAGTGTTTGGAATGGACTGCACACACACTGCCTCGAGGGAGGCATCGTGCTTACCGAATTCCGAAGAATCTTAGCAGGTTGGCAAGAGCCAAGGATTGGGGACCCAGAATGTGCATTGGGCTACTGCTGGAATTCAGTCAAATAAAACTGCATAGCTTGCATTGAGAGCACTGTCTGGCAAGCTTCCCACCTATTGGCTAGCAATGATCACCATACCAGTTGGGGCTTCGGGTTGTAAGGTTTACAAGAGCTGAGCGGGAAGAATCTCAGTGACAAGGCTGCCCATCCAGGTCCTGCCGATGAGCCAAGCTGGCTGGTCTGCTAATTCTCTCTATTTCTGCATTCCCATTATCAAGCACATCACCTTGGAGCTCCTAAGAATCCTGTGTACCTTTCCCCTCCCCCCAAGAGGATAGTGACTATTTGGTCATTTGACATTCAACAAGCACAGGTTTTGAGCCCACACAACAACAACATACATTTATATAGTGATATAGTGCCTTTCACGATGGGGTGGGGGTGGAGGGGTTTGGTAGCATCCTTAAAGGTGGATGGCAGGAACCACAACTCTGAGCTTGCAGAGGGAGTGATGTCAGCAGTGAACTGGAAGTCAGCACATTTTTATGCGCTGTGCCTGAAATGCAGTTTGTAAGAAATTGCACCCAGAGGATCACACTGTAACACTGCACTGTAATTAGTTTTTTTGATCCTTTAATTTTTTAATTGAAATCTGTGAAAAGATATAGCTGAGACAATCGTACGGATTTTACATATGTCGTCTTACTAATTAAGAACATGAAAATGAATAGTTGCAATGTTTAAGGTTCGATTCCAGTGCCATAGTTTAGAATGCTGGTTTAAATGTATTTAAACTTCAATGCAACATATTGCACCTAAGACATGCAGTTTGATAAATGTACTATATTCAGGTTAACTGACAAAATTAATTGCCTTGCTGTTTAATACCACATTCCTGACAAATGAATGCAGTGACTTCACCATCTCAGAGGTGTTCAGTTTTAGGGATGCAACCAGGGATTTATGAGTCCCTGAGGGTGTACAAATGTACAGTATAGGAATGTGAAGCTTTCATCCACAATGAACGTTTCATAGCTAAACGTCTTGTCTTATTTTCTCATTTAAATTTTAACGTGAATGATCACGGAAGGAAAATTTAATACACAATCATGAGAGGTCAATGTCTGCACAAGCTATTTCTGGGATTTCCATTTGTTGGTGGGGTGCCTGGAAATCTCAGTTTGCTTTGGATACTCTTAAGCATGGTGGTGCGTTTCAGCATGCATCAGACACCCGGCTGATAAACAAAAAGCTATTTTCTTTATAAAGCTCTGCTTTAGACACTAGTTAGTAATGTGTTTGCTTTGCAAAATTCATATTTTTTCCCATCCCCACTATTTATAAATAAATATAGGATGTTTGGTGATGCAATGCGGTGGAATCTCAACTCCCTTGGCTGCTGAAGTACTGTACATTTCATTTTAAAGTTGCAATACTCTTAATTGGCAATTCAGCTTGACTCGTGCTCTAGTTAGCGAGTCCTGAAATGGTGTAGATAGTCTTGAAGCAATATCTGGGTCCTACTGACCTGCTTTACTTACTGGAGGAGAAATATATTTGTTGTTAATAAGGGAAACTGGGGTCTAGGAGGAGAGAGTTCACCAAAAAAATTCAGGAATTGTGAGCCAAAATGCTTCTGATTGAGAGATACCTAAATACCTCTTGGCTGTAAAAGTGCATTTATTTTCCTTTACAGTTAGACATTTTTCTGTTCAAAATGTACATCTGCATTGTACTTGATTATGAAGCTAAGATGTATTGGTAGTCTACTGTTATATACCTGTCATACACAATATATCGGCAGATGAACTCTTTGAACTAAAAGAGGGGCGATAGGTGTTCTACTCCCATGTCTCTGGCAATGTTCTTGCCTGACTAGTTCAAGAGAACAAAATGAGGTGTTTTACCCTCTTGTGCATCTCTTGGCTTGTGGTAAAGTTACCCACTGAGCTGTGGCTCAGTACATTAAAGCATTAGCTCTGTGCCATTCTGTTGCCTCATCAAAACGTGACCAGCATCAGGAAACTTTCGATTGTGATAATGTTTCTGTAAAAGTTTAATTTTTTAAAAAAGCTCTAAAATACATTGTATTTTTTAAAAAAAACATTTGCAACAAAACTGCTTATTTTACCAAATATTTTAAGACAAGGAGCATAGTTATTCTCTATTGCTGCATTAGCACAAACCATGTGGATGTCATAATAGAGCTAAATCTCTATATTTTGAGATCTCTGGAATTTACACATACAGTGTAAGACCGTTAAAATGTGTATTGATAATCTTTGTAATCTGATTAATGAAAGGAAAGTTGACTATATATAAAGAAAATAAGTCTTTCACTTTTAAGAACTGTTTAAGCTAAAGTTGCACTTTGCCAGTGTACACACAACTGTGACGTCTACATCATGAGGGTACTTTTCTGGAGTACAGGCCCTTAAGCACATAACGGATGTTGGGATCTTTCTGTAGCAGTCTTGTGATCCAGTTCAATTTGGAACTTGTGCCTTGAGTTCCTGAGTACAAAGCCATTGACCTTGCTCTAATTGAAGCACTTGCACAACTTCTAGCCCCAAACACTTATCTTTCTCCCTATCAGCGTAGAGATTTTGCAGTCAAATACTTGTGGAACACTAATTGACTAATGGGATGAAAAGGCAAATTGTGTAATGCGTTATTTCATGTTCCAACCTTTGAAGGCAAGTTTACTGCTATCCTGATTGAAGTGCCTTGATTTTTAAAATTTTCTCGGAAAATAAGCTTTTACTTTCAACCCCAGTTTCACCCTGCCCACCTTTCTTATTTACCTCCTTCCTGAGTTGTTATTAATTAGTTATTTTATTTGAGCTGGAAGTTCAACAAACTGCAGTTACGTTGCACGTGAATGGCAGGTTTTGTGCCACCAATGTAACTGTGCCATCTTGTGTCTTGTTAACAGCAGGGAAAGGTAATTCTAAATGTCGTGCTTACTGTTCATTTAATGTAACATTTAATGTAACATCAGTAACTTCATCTCAAATCTGTTGCGACATACTGCCAATGTGAGGTCATTTGCTGCACTAGGCACATTTACATGTAAATAGCGCCTTTCACATTGTGAGGATGCCACAGGGCATTGACTAGCATGTGCGCAGCTGTGATCAAACTCTACCAGGGTTTCTTGAGTGATGCCAAACTGTGTTCTAAGTAATTGTTTTTAACAAAAGTGCTTCAAAAGTACTATCAATATATCCCTATTTTCCATCAGAATGAAGAGCTGTTATAACTGACCAGTCACATCATGCGTAAAAAGGACCATCGTTCAGAGATTGTTTAGATGTGATTAAAGTGAGCATCTGTGTCTGCCATTTTAGTTGTACATTTCAGGATTTTGTATCTGTTAACAGCAGTCACACAGGGCTGTTATATTGTCAATGTTTAAAAATGGGTTTTGAAAATACTTTACTGATGGTTTAACTGGGAACACAGTGTAATATTTGCAGCCCCAGTAAAAGCAAAAATGATCATGTTGTACAATTCCAATTTGTGTTGCTTTAAGCACCTTCTCGATGTATGGCCAAATGTGGATGTTCTGCTACAAAAGTCCATATGTACGTGGGTGAAAAGATGTTATAGTTGTTTAATTCTGTAAGAAAATGCCTGAATTGGGCCAGAATGTAACTACAGTAATTATATTCATAAAGTGACTTGTCATATATTTAAATTGTAATGTCTCTGTGCCTCATTTTCTTGAATATAACATTTGATATAGTGCCTTATCAGGTGGATGTCCCAAAGTGCTTGATCGGAAGATAGGAACAAGAATAGTCCATTCAGACCCTGGAGCCTGTTCTGGCATTCTGTTAGATCATAGTTGATCTGTACTTCGACTCCATTTACCCGCCTTTGCTCCATATTCCTCGATATCCTTACCTAACAAAAATGTTATCGACCTCAGTCTTGAAAATTTGAAAGGATCCAATATCCACAGCCTTTTAGGGGAGAGAGTTCCAGATTTCCACTATCCTTTGTGTAGAAAAAGTACTTCCTGATTTCACTCCTAAGTGGCCTAGCTCTAATTTTAAACTTCACATGGTTTCTGTAAAAAAACTGTTTTGCAGGCGAACATGGTAGCCAATTTGCACATGGCAGTGCCCCACAAACAGCCATTAAGTGAATTATCTGGGGGATTGTTGGCCAGGACACCAAGAGTAACTCCCTTTTCCAAATAGTGTTATGAGATCTTTTAACAGTCACCCAAACAGACAGACGGCCTCAATTTAATGCCTCATCTGAAGGACGGCGCCAATATGGTTTCTGGAGCCAAAATTGCTCTTCACTCTCCTGATGCTGGTCTCTCTTGTATTTGGAAAGTATTATTCTGAGTTTATGTTCTCAATTACTGATGTAATTCTAATGAGGCAGGGAAATGTTCTACAAGCAAAAGATCCATTGTATGTTCGGGTTATTCGACAAGCCACTATGAAATACTTTCAGCACCTTCTCGTGCTGTAGTAGATACATGGTGTAAAATCAGGTGATCCGGTTGTTTGAGCAGTTAACATGGCAGATGGTACTGCCATTTAAAGGAAGGGCTGATTAAACCTGCCTGGTGCGGTATGAGTTTCAGTCCAAAGCAGCCAATACAGCAAGCTGCTTTTGTTAACGGCCAGCAGAGAGTTTGCTTTTAGCCTCAACAGTTGGAACTAGTGTGACATCTAGTGGTAATGCTACATCACATGTTCTACTGTGAATAATTGTTACGTCCATCTGTAATATCAAACTTTTTACAGTTTTCTTAGGTAATGTTTTACATGCTGTTTAGCCAAGCCAGGGAGCTGTAACAGGTTGGAATGTTCTGTGTGATGGTTCACACACTTGGATTAAATATAAATTTAATATATACATATATAAATATAAACTTGTGCTTCTACCACCCTTCCTAGTAACCTATACTCTTTGTAAAGAAATACTTTGTGGTTTCATTCCTAAAATTACCCCTCACACACTGAGCCAGTGTTCTCCGGTCTTGCTGCCCTGCCCTCCCAAGAAAATCACAGACTATCTGACACTTTGGTTTTCCAGAAGATGTCAGACAGATTTAGGAAGTGTACATCATAGCTTTGCAAACAGACAAGTGGATGAGTGAGTTGACAGACTATATGAATGTGCAAGGGTTCATTTGTGGAAATTGGGAAAAATATGTGCCTGAGGCTTATTACGAAGAAATCAGTTAGATTCACGATTCTTAATTCAACTGTAAGCATTGAATTTCAATGTGTAATTTAGTATACATGGAAAATAAAAGTTTTAAAAATAGGATGTTCGTGTTTAATGAATGCTATTT